GAAAATTTACAGAGACTTTGAATTTCCATTCATTCATTGTTGCACTTTTCTCCCTGCCCACCCCTCCCCCTGCCCCAAATTCACTCTTCTCTTTGAAAAGTAAGAGAAAAATTCTTTCATTGTTTTACAATCACTTCCCCCTAGGTCCACTCCACTATGCTGCCTTCGTTCTGGACTCCTGTTATAACAGTAAAACCTAATCACGTATCCCTCTTAAACTGTTTTCTCCTTCATCTGTTTCAATGTAGTATACATTATTTATCCCATCTTTCTCAGTCTCCCCTCAACCCCGATGTCAGTACCATTTTACAACAATATGTAGTATTTGTCCTTTTGTGACTGAGACATTTCACTCAGCATAATATCCTCACAGTAGCACTCTTATTAGGTTTCTGAGGTTATAGCTCTAAGGGAGTAGACTGCTTATCTTTCTGTCACAGAGAATGATTCAAACCACCAACCTTTCAGTTTGCATTCTAATATTTTATTTACTATGCCATCAGGCCTTAACTATGCTGTAAATGTTAAATAAAACTGTAAGCAAACAAAAATTCCTAATGTCCCTTAATATTAACTTAATATTTAAGATAAAACATATCATTTACAACACCAACATGTCAAAAATTTTGTCTTGTATAGTTTCTCTTTGTTTCAGTTTTAAAAAATGTTGGCATCCCTTTCATATGCATCAATACTTTTTAAAAGCCAACTCTAGAATGTGATTATATTCTCTTCAGTGAATTTCTTAAAATCTAATGAAGCTTTTTACTAGAAAAATTCATACACTTAACATACAAATGAACATAATATTATATTCATTTCAAGAGATTTCTTAAACCTTACAAAGTTCCAGTAGAAAATTCCTACAGTAAATGATAGGGTAAGAGTATAAAACTTTTGAAGATACTACTTCTGCAAGTTTTTAACAGAGGTCTGTGAATTGAAGGGAGATGAACATTTGAGGAATTATGCTTGTGTTATTACCATATATTCTCTAATCCAAATTACTGATAAATTTGTATTCTGCCACAAATACGTAGTGGCAGTTTGCCACTGTGATGGAAAATAACTTATTAGGCCAGGCTCCTGATAAATTTAGCATGAATTTGAGTAAGAATATTAGGGCTTTCCTAAGCAGGACCATATGTGAAAGTGATCTGTGACAGATGGGTCTGCATATATGCATTAGAGTTTTGTTGGGGCTGCCACTGCTATTGCAATAGGCAAGTTATAGTTCAGTGGTGTCTTTTTCAATGTAATCAAGTCCTATCATCCTCTAGTGCTCCTGGACGTCGGAGTAGCTTGAAAAACCTCACGCCTTGAGTTTGTCATTAGACCATTCCGAGATGAACAGGTGATACCATAAACATAGCCCGGTCTTGCCATCTGGGGAGAGGAAGTGGTTCTCCTTGGTGGCTCCTTCTGGATGTAAATTGATTTTAATGATTTCTTTCTTTCTCCTGGGCAGGATTTATGTGGGCATCATTCATGTGACACTCTGGGAATGGCAGACGTTGGGACCATATGTTCTCCGGAGCGCAGCTGTGCTGTGATTGAAGACGATGGCCTCCACGCAGCTTTCACTGTGGCTCACGAAATTGGTATGCGGCGCCTTTTCTCTTCCCTCGCCAAATCAAACACTTGTAACAGCTGCAGCAGGAACCAAAATACTGGGCAATTAATTCCAGATTTTTCCCGGTTTAGATGTACCGTTGAGGATTAGATGTGTTTATATTTGCACTGATGATGGAGAGAGAAGGCACAGAATGACACCCAGTCCATGTTTCCTTTCTGACAGTGTCACTTAGTTTAAGAGCAAGCTCTTCACTGTTGCTACTGTCCTTTTAAGTATCCGTCCCTAAATGACTCGAAGGCAAAATTTGTCACCGTTTTCTATGGAATGAACAATTGTTCCTTTTAGAAACTGTTCAAGATGGTAATAATTCCTCCAGGATGATATGTCTACATGTAAATTTAACATGTTTTAACATGTTTTACTTCACCTTGTGCGCTAATGTAGGCTCTCGTCAAAGACTATCCATCAGTGATGTCCTATAAACATTTCTGTCTTGTTCTTAATAACATCTAACGCTAAACTGAAAGTACACCAATAATGTTTAAAATGTCACTATCCCAATTTGCAGGTTGTAAGACACATTTAAGTTTTACAAATGTAAATTTAATACTGAGTTAAGAAAAGGAAAATACTATTATGCTGTAGAAGGATGGGCAGTCTCCTCTCGTGTCATTTGCTGCCTTTGAAAACCCACAGGAGAGTCAGTGATGTCTGTTCCAACTTGATGGCACACAACAATAATCAGTGATCCAAGCTAGTTTGAATATTTGAGAAGTGCAATATTTGAGAAGTCAAGTTTAGTGTTTAGTGTCTTGAATGAAATGCTAAAATTAAACTTGTCCGAGTTCAGTTCAGGCTGGTGGCATAGTTTGTAACTTACTGTGCTGCTAACTGAAAGGTAGGTGGTATGAATCTTACCAGTTGCTCCTTGGAACAAAGATGGGCAGTCTCTTTCTGTAAATACTTAAAAGCCTTTGAAACTCAATGGAGGGTAACTATGAAAACCTACTTGAAGACAGTGATTTTTTTGGCTTGGTGGAATTGGTTAAGTACTGTTGATTTGAGTACGACTCATAAAGACCTTATGAACTATAGATCTAAACCTTGTCCTGTCCTGCACGTGACACACTTAAATCCATTGTTGCAGACACTGTATCAGTCCATCTGATAGACTTTGGTTGGGCTCTATTAATGTTCAAATACTCTCTACCTGTGTCACATTGGTGTAATGATTTAAACTCTAGGCTTTAATTTTTGTATTTAAAATAGAAGGGAAATAATACTCATTTCATGAAGTTAGAGACCAAATTAAGTCCAAATTTCATTTCCTGGAGACCAAATGCAGTACAATTTAGATGCTAACTTTTATTTATATCCATGTATATTTCTGTTTTACTTTTTACTAAATAGTTCCTTTGCACCTAATGCTTATTGCTCTTTAGCATAATCCTTTCTGTGGCAAAATATGCTTTGATAATTTTTTTACTTTCCTGTCATATTTTTATTAAACAGGTTAGTAGGTTTGGTTAGGTGTTTTTGTTTTTATTTTAAACTAAAATCATAATTTTTAAATGGAAATTAAAACCTCTTAACATTCCTTGTGGGCAGAGAACATTTTCACAAGATGTTGATTTCTACTGCTCTGTTTTCTTTGGAAGTTAAACTAACTCCCAATCAAAGATTTAATAGTATAAGGCATTATATTGTAGCCATAAAATTGGAAGCTATGGTGAAACTTCCATTCTTATGTATAATTCATTACTTTAATTTTCCGTATTGACACTGTTTTTACCACCTAAACAGAACACCACAAGAATAAAATCTTGATGTAAATAATTGTCTATAATCATCAAAAATAGTAATTACATTTCATTAATTGTTTTGTTTTAAGAGCCATGGATTTGAGATGGGACACAGTCCTGTATCTAGGATGTGTTTTATCTTAGCAAATTATTTAAACACTTCTTTCTGTGATTCTTATCCTGTAAGATGGTAAGATAGTGAACCATGACTCTTATGCGCTGCATTAGATAGTTTGAAGGGATTATTTCCTCACTTGTCTATTATTCTATTCATCCATTCACTGCCACTGAGTTGATTCCAATTTAGCTACCTTCCATCAGGTTTTGAGACTGCAAATCTTACCAGAGAGCTCTAATAGTGTAATGTATAAAGAGTTGCACTTACTATAAGCCAAAAGGCCATGCCTCTTTGGTTCATATTCACTAGCGACTCTGTAGGACACAGATGGATAATTTCTGATTTACAAAATTTACTGAGTTACAAGAATTTTGTTCTGATGGACAAAAAGCTGATTTACAGCTTCTGAAAGCCATTTGGAGCTCAGCTCTGACTCAGTTCAAACTTGAAAGAAATGACTTTGATTAAAAAAAGAAATGCCAACAGGAGAATTTCTCCTGTGGAGTGACTGGTATAGTTGAACCATTAAAGATAAGAAGCCCTTTGGCCAGTAGTTTAACACTCTATAGAGTACAAGAACTCCTGTGTTGCTCATTAAAACCCAGCTCCGGTGGCTTAGTGGTAAGGTGTTGCGCTGGAAACCCAACGGTACATGGTTTGAATTCACCAGCTGTTCTGCAGGTTAAAAATGGACAGTCTCCTTCCATGTGATTAACTGCCTCTGAAAACTCACTGGAGGGTCAGCTTGGGTCGATTCACAACCGCAACATTGCCACTGAGTCAGAATCAACTCATGGGTGACCCTTCAGTGATTTCCAGAGGCTATAAATGATATGGAAGGAGAGTGGCATCTTTCTCCCACAGAGCAGCTGCTGAATTTGAGCCGTCAGCCATGGGGTTGACAGCATAACTCCTCATTCACTAGGCCACCCTTTATAATGGATAAAGTGTAATATAACTCTGTAATCAAACCAGCCAGTTGCAAGTTGATTGTGACTTAATGTAACCCCCTGGTGGTTTAGCATAGAACAGTGTTCTCTGAGGTCTTCAGTGACTTGTCTTTCAGAAGTAAATCACTAAGCTTTCCTTCTGAGGTAACTTGTTAGGTTGGAAACACCAACTTTTTGTTTAGTAGCAAAGCACATACCATTTGTACCATCCGGGATCTCCGAATATAGATTAGCAACCAATTACTCCATGAATTCCTACGTGTGTGTAGGAGGAAGAAACAGCCATGAGAACTGCCCGTAGGGTCAAATCAATGCTACAGTGGAAACTAAGAGAAATTAATTCTAGCACAAAAGGTTTATAATTAAACAGGGTTGATTTTAAAAGTACAGCAGTAATTAATTACAGTTATTCAGAATGAGAGAAAGCCATGAGAGAAGTTCTAAATTCCTGGGAAGACAGAAAGACACTAGGATGCATCAGGCTAAGAAGAGGAATTGTGGACACTACACTACAGAGCTCAATGTTGGCTTCATTTCATAGGATTAGACCCACTGCTGATAGGTGTAGACTAGATTGCCCTGTCATGTTTCCAAGGCTATACATTTTTGCAGCAGACTGTCACTTTCTCATATGAACAGGCTGTAGATTGAATCTACACATCTTTCTGTTAGCAGCCTAGTACCTAGAACCCTGCACCTCCAGCTATCCTTATCATAGGATTGCTGCTTTTGTTGTGAGGTGCTATCAGATTGACTGTGTCTCATAGCAATGTTATGAATAACAGATCAAAACCTTGCCCTGACTTTCACACTCTGCATAATCTCTCCCAAGCTCCAAGCCCACTGTTGGAATCACTGTCAGTCCATCCTATTGAAGTTCTCCCTCTCTTTTGCTGATCTTCTACTTTTCCAAGCAACCATTAGATTATGACCCCTCAGTCTTTCTTTTCAAAGGAGATTACAGGTTGAGGGAGGGAAGAAAAGCTTCTTCTGTCTATCCTATGTGGATTGTTTTCACACATTTACAGCACAGGGAAGGTTTCCTTTAAGAGAATTCCTCGTGCTGGAAATGGCAGCTTCTTAGGGGCTACATTGATTCTGAAGATAGTTGAGCTATAATTGAGTATCCCTAGAAACTCCTTTCCTAGCCCTCCTGCAGTTCTCAACTAAGAGTCTTTTGAGGTAGCAGCTTCAGTTGGATTTTGAGTGCCTTCCAGCTTGAGAGACTCATCTTCTCATATTTTAGCAAACAATGTTATTCTGCTGTCCATACAGATTTTACTTATAATTTTTTTCCAGAAGTATGTCTCCAGGTCTTTCTTTCCATGCTGCCTTAGTCTGGAAGCTCTGCTGAAACCTACCGTGGTTGATCCCACAAGTATGTGAAATCCGAGTGACGTAGCTTCTTCCCAGCAGCATGCAAGCTGCCACACACTGATAGGCAAATAGTAGATACACATGTGCGTGACCTAGTGGTAAGGGGTTATGCTGCTTATCTGAAAGCAGTTTGGTGAGATCGACCAGCTGCTCTATGGGAGGAAGATAGGCAGTCTCCTCCTGAGTGGTTTTAAACCTCTGAAAACTTTATGGAGGGTTACTTATGAGTGAGTGCTAACTCAATGACACATAACAACAGATGTAGAAGATAGAGATGTAGAGAAAGATATGCAGTTAATGTTAGGTTTTGTCAAGTAGATTATGACTCATAACAGCCTGATGAACAGGTCTGAACCCTGTCCTACCCTGTGCAATGCTCTTCATTTCTGACATATTTGAGCCCGTTGCTGCAGTCACAGTGTCAGTCCATCTTGCTAAAGGTCTGCCTCTCTTTCACCTATCCTTCACCTTTCCAAGCATGATGCCCTTTTCCGAGATAAAGCTTTGTCATCTTAGCTTCTAAGGAGTATTCTGGCTGTACTTTTTCCAAGATATTTTTTGTTCTTTTAGTAGTCCATGGGATATTCAGCATTCCAACACCACA